CCTGTGCTGCTCGTCACAGGACAAGGCAGCCCCTGTCCCACCCAGGGTCCTGGTGCCACCAGCACTGAGTTTGGCTTGTTCCTGGACTGGAAAATAAAACCAGAGCCATGTTGGTCAGTCAGGGCTGGTTCTGCCCTGCAGCCACATCCCTGTGTGGTCCTGGACTGTCCCTGCCCCAGCTGACCCATCCCCTGTCCCCACCAGCCTCTGGAATGCTGGCCCCCTCCCTGCCCCAGGGATTTCCCCCCCACACTCACGGGGTTTATTTACCTCCTCTTGGCAAGGCTGGTGAAGCCACGGGGCCACTGTCCTCCCCTGCCCATCGAGGCCTCTTGCCCAGCCTGCTTGTGGCACCTGCCCGTGTGCCACCTTCGTTGGAAAGCCCAGGGGGGACCTTTCCCCCGTGTGCCACGAGGGTGCACTTACCTGGGAACCTCTCAGTGGGGCTGGGGGTGCCCTGCCTGCCCTCTCCCCGTTCCATCCTGGGAAACACAAGGCTGGAGCCCCCCCAAGGGATCCCCCAGGTGATGGGGGGCCCAGCCCAGCACTTTGAGGGACAGGGATCTGAGCTCTGCCCTGGGAATCACACAGGGAAACCCTCAAGGCTCTCAGTCTTCTTTAAAATACTTTATTGCAACATCACAGGGTTCTCTGGCTCTCCCAGCAGCGGAGTGAACACCAAACCAGTTTACTCTTAAATTAAAATTCATTTATATATAAAAAACATTTCCTTTTGCACAGCCAGGCTCTGTCCCAGCCCTCCTGCTGGCAGGAGGCAGCGGCTCCGGGGCCCTTCTGGACGAGGCAGGCTCGGGGAGGAGCAGCAACCCCACCTTTTTCTGCCTGTTTTTTTGTATCTAGTGGCATCCAAAAGGGTAGATTTCTATCTCCTTCTCCACATCTCCCACGGGAGGGCAACAGCCATGGAGCCACATGTCCAGAGGTCCCCAGGCAGCAGCGTCTGCCTCCCATCCCTGCGCAGTCTCTGGCTTCTCCTGGTTAATACAATTCCACTCTGTAATGGTTCTCTCATAGAAAAGCAGCATTATTTTTTTAAAAAACACTTTTTATAAAAAACTAACAGGATCAACAACAACAATACAAAAAACGCAGTAATTGCTTTTCCAACTCAAGTGCGCAGCAAGTTTTCCACCCTCTCAGGGTACAGCTCGGATCCACATGGATACACATAACACAGCCCCCCCTCCTGAGTGTGATCCGAGATCCCTGCCCTGGGAAGGTGGAGATGCATCCCAGACTATAGCAGCACATTCAAAGGTATTCCTTAAATCCTAGTCTGATGCCTAAGCTACCAAAGGACCAACCAGCTTCCAAGTGAGAGTCTCCCATTGCCCAGGGAGCCAGGGAAGGGGCGAAGGGGGAAGGCACTTTTTTGGGAGGGGAGGAGAGCAGCATCCAGGCCCCACAGCAAGGAATGCCACGTCTCCTCCCTCCCTGTTTCCCAGCAGTTAATAAATTAAGCAGCCTCCATGGGCCAGCGAAATCCGAGGAGACAGCGCCCAAACCTGCCCCCTCCCAAGGCCAGGACCCTCCTGCTGTCCACACAGACAGGGAGCACATCCCCAGAAATCCCATATCCAACAGCAATAACAAACAAGCCCCACAGTTCCCCTCCAAGCAGAAGCAGCCACACAACTCCCCCCGGAGCTGCAGGAATCTGGCACGAAGCAACGGGGACCGAGGGGCCACTGAGCAGCTGCTCCCTCCTGAAGGGAACCCTGTGGGTCCAGAGCCACAGGGGGGGAACTGGGGAGTACCTCCCTGCTCCAGGACATGCAGG